CACCCGCGGAGATTCCGCGCGGCTTGTCAAAAAAATTAAATTTTCCGACTCGTAGAACACGAAAAACTTGCAGAGAATTAATAAGTTTTGAATGGTTACAGATTTGGTCAGAATTAGTTGTCACTGAAATGTTTATAAAAATAAGCTTTGATAAATGTCGTTAATATTTGTCCAGATTCCGTGATATACAAAGTCCATATTTTATTAATTAATGATAAAATAATTATTTATGTATTAATTATTCTTATCAATTTTAAAATACTGAATTTTCTCATTCCGACAAATAAATTAAAATAAACATTAAAATTAATTTAAGCAAAAATGACAAAAATTACCTGTTTTAGCATAAAATGTATAAATATTTATAAATGTAATCAATAATACAATCAATTGCAAAAGTAGATAAATTATTGCAATAAATTATTATAAAATAGTCAATTATATGTAATAAAAAATAATCAAATTCAATTGTATTATAGAATATCTCAGGATTATCAATATTCGACAAATGATATAAACAAACATATACATTCAAAGCATTATTATAAATTTCGCTTTATATGCATATTTTAACAACAAATCAAAATTTTTTAAGAATTTTATTTAAAAAAAAAACACCTCTAAATAAATCAAAAACTCTTGTTTCCTCCATGATTTCATCCTGAAGAAATCTCTAAACATTATATGTTTTTCACAACCGCACGTAGTCCGCATTCATGGACATGTCGAAAGGTAACGGAGCGCGTCCGCGGATGGTGTGGCAACTGGCAAGCGCATTAGAATAACGCGACGCGGCCAGGCTGGTGCCACTAATTACATCCCGCTCTGCCTAGTTTGTATTAATGCGGACGTTAGCATTCAGCCACGAGCGTCCAGCTTTCCGCGTTACGTCGTCGCGTCGTCCCGCGTCGCGTCGGTGCCGCGTTACGTGCGTTACGTGCGTCACGACGTCCGCCCCGGTGACCGTTGTTACGGCCCAGAAGGGGCATGTTGCAACCCCCGCCGTCCTCCCCCCCCGACCCGCCCGTCGGCCAAGGGATGCACACGGCAGGTGGATTTAACTGCAGGTATGCGCCACGTAGATAGGCACCCGGCATCGTTCCGAGCCCGAAATCACTTCGCGCGCTAAGCTCGTTACTGATCCTCGTGCTTTATTCACGCGAAATGCCGTCGCTACAGCCCGTCTCGCGATTAACTCGTGTTACGTGGAACACGACAATGGAAGCTAAAAGATGCCTATTGGCCTGCTAGATATGCGTGTCGCATGTAATGCAATTCACCGGTGAAACGGAGCGTTGCCGGAGCTTTATTAAGCTTGAATTACCTATTCGTAATCCGAGTAAAAGCAAAATGCTTTAAAATGTCATAAATCTATTAACGAAGTAATAAATTAATAAATAGATATATAAAATGAAGCTGCATCTGATTTCATTTGTAATCATGGCAATTGTTAACACTTTACGAGGTGCTTTGTATAATTTCGCGAATGAAAAGTCGAGCTCCTGCAATTTCGATCTTTCCGCTGATTCTTTTATTCCACTAATAAATTCTACGCGATACGAAACGATAGCAATATTCAATAATTTCGACATAACGGAAAAATAGGAAAGCAATGAAGATATAAGAGGGGACGCTAAAAGTATTAAAAAATACTTGGTTTTTCTAAATGAGAGTAATTCTCGTGAAAGCATGTACTCCAATTCCTAGGATTAGAAATTCCTTCGATCCCACGGCCGGCCATTAGTCTCGATATCGTAAAATAGCAATGATTTTCAATAAAGTAAATCGAGCGCGATAATATTACCAGACAAGGCAGTAACCACTGTCTTTTTCGTTTCTCCCCTTTTCGCTCTCAGATCACCATCTTTAGTGCTTCTTTCACTTTTTTTCAAAAGAAATGCGCGCGAATCGGATAAATAATAATTATATAAATGCAAATTGACAATCATTGATATTCACGATACGTTGGAAAATGTATTAATACGAGATTCGTTTTATGACTTACTGTAGTGCATGATGTATTATTTTCATCATATAATCCGTTCTGTCGATATCCGAAACACAGAAGGATCAAATGATGTAAACAATATCAAACAGCAAACAGTCAACGATATTTACAATAAATTGAAGAATATCATCGCGAATAAATATCTCGTTTCATTTTTTTATATATCGTATTCATGTATATATATGTTATATAATTAATTAAAGTTTCAATCAATAGAAATAATAAATAAAAAATTATTGACAGTTACATTATTGAATTGGAAATTCTTTTCTCGAAATTGAATGTTATCAGGGAAGAAGCATTTGCTGTTCCATTCTAAATAATTTATAGCAAAAAGTGTAAGGAAATATAGCAGTTAAGTCTATTCAGACTTAAAATTATTGACTATTCTCTAGTATATATTCGCGAACTTGCAAACGATACTGTATATCTACCTCAAAGGAAGCAAACGGAGTAAATAGTATCATAGAAATGCAAATTAGCCGTAAATTGACGATACAGCGGCAAATTGGAAACTATATTCATGGTATATGATCCTTTGTTGTATGTATAGTGCAACTTATAGTCTTTGTTATAACCGTATATCGATCTTAACGTCCGTAAGTTTCCGCGCTCTTGTACATTACAATGATTCATAGTATTAAACTACTTCTTATATGAGCCATTAATCGGCACGTAATAAAATTGTTTCTCCTTAAAAAGCCTAATTATTTTTATAAAAATTTTTATATTATATTTAATATATATTTATTATATTTAATATATTTTATATTATATTTTTAAAAAATTTTTTTAGTTTTACACTACATTGGCATCTTTCAATAGTTATGATAGAATGTCGAAGTTTTATTTCTATATCAAATTATATTAATATTCTACCCATCGGGATTCATGAAAAAAAAATTCTCCATCATCTATCTTCAGACGATCGTCGCGCATCTTAATTTCCATCGTGAACGGGAAAGGAAAAAGTTTCTTTCGCACGGGTGTATTAATCTCGACAGGGCTACATAGAGAGATTTCGCTAATTACAGTCCCGAGTAAATCATACTTTGGACAAATAAGTAAAAATGCAAGAACGGCGCAGAAAGAAATAGAAACAAACGACAGGAAGGAAGGGCTCCCTTTCAAGGAAACGCTGTGAATTAGTTTCCATTTGCTAATTACATGCGGAGTCGCGCGACGAGAAAAAGAAGCGACGGAAATAATTATGTTTAATCTCGCAAAAATTAAAAACTCTGAGACGATCGAAAGAAACTTTCTCTCTTCTTCTCACGAGCCGCACGATCAAGATCAATAATTACAATGCATCGTCCATTATATGTATTATTTCAGCCCAGTACATCTTAGTGCAAAAATTATTATTGGATAATATTTAAATAAAGATTTAAATAGCACCATCTTAATAAATTTATTTGATGGTTTATTGCAACAAAATAAAATAAGATCGACACAAACAGATAAGAAATACAAGTTTTAATTTATATAATACTTACAGGGCTGAAATAATTGAAGATGCAGAATTAAAATACAGCATTTAATTCCTAACTGAACATAAAGTCTGAGTGCAATTTCAAAATTTTCACAAGTACTATTATACATTTCTTAAATTCTACAACATATCTTATTCGTTTTCAAAGAAATTTTAAATAGTATTTTACAGATAAGAATTTTTTCAACAAAAAAATATATATTATTTTCGCATTGTAAAATTCAATATTCATGTAAATAAAATTTTGCAAAAATAGAATTAAATCATATTTTGATCTCTAAAGGACTATACAATTATTTTACAAATTCGCGAATAAATTAGTCATGAATTACGGCGTATCAGACGCGAGGTACGTCTTCAAATGAGTCACCGTCCAGTTAAGGATTAAAAGACTGTAGAAACGAATAGCGAGACACTCGCGCTAAAAGGGTGCAAAAGAAAGGAGCGTGAATCGTGGAAACCTTCGCCCGGTGCTTTTCTCGTCGCTTATCTCTCCGGCGGATACATAGCGTTCGTTGCTGCAGACGGGGCAAAAGAAGGGGGAAAAAAGAGGGGAAAAAATCATGAAAGAGACGAGGCCAGCGCGCGCGAAAAGTACTATCCAATGTGCCCGTGTACAAAAGTAAGACCTCTCAGAACAACCGTGCGCGTCCGTGCGCGTTCCCCGCGCTCGCGCTTTTAACGAGCAAACTTTCGACAAATAAATTTCGCGAATCAGCGCGCGCTTCGCCCGAAGGAGGCGCCCGCCCGCTCGTTCGTTACACGACCGAGAGATCTGCGAGCGTCGGGCTGCAGCCTGCCTTAACTGCGAACGAGTTGGGATGCATCCGACGCATCTCCAGAATCCACGAAGGAGCGACTCACGCGATCGATCGTTTGCGCGATCCGCTTTAAACTAGCTGAAGAATGTGAGTGAAAACGGAAAACGCGTATAATATCTGACGAATATCGTTTTCGGAAAGGAATAGTTGACTCTTCAGCTATCCGAACAACATTTTAATAAAGAGAAAAAATGTCCTAATATTTGGACATCTCTTAAATGTTTATTTATTCCTCAAAATAATTCACACGAATTAATTCACTGTTTATTTATTTCTCAAAATAATTCACTTGTTTCGTTATCAAAATTACCGTGAATTCATTCTAGTATGGATTCAAATTAAGAGCATCTTTTAGCATTTATGAATACGTTTCGTGTTAGATATTCGAATTAAATAACGAACACATCAAAGATTCTTTTTTTTTTTACGTAACCAATTCGATCGAATAGCGCGAAAATTTTTGGAAGATCAGATAAGGGATTTCGCGTGAAAATTACGTTCCACCATCACGCTCCGGCAAAACTCCTATTACTAGTCAATTTTATGGACGACAGTCAAAGCGCTCGTTTGGATCGCTTTTTGCATAATTGAAGCGTGCCTGCCGAGCGAGTAATTATTGTCGCTAATAGATATCAAAGGCAAATGACACAAATATAATTGCATATAACGTAAGACTCACAGTTATGAAAGTGTCTGAAGCATCTGAAGCATTTAGAGTTGAAATATCTGGAGAAACTAGACGAGCAACGTGATAGGGTTTGTCTGTAAAAAGATAGAAAAAAATCAAATTGCTATTAAACGTATGCTAAAAAATCAATTTAATAACGTTTGCAAAGAAATTGAGAATTTTATAATTGTACAAAATTACGAATAAAAATTATATACAAATTAATTATATATTTAATGCTGCATACTTGTATATTGTTGACTAGTTTACTAGTTGTTCCATTCTATTGTTGACTGGTATTACATTTTTCTAATTATCTAAAAATTAAAAATTAAAAAATTAAATTAGAATTATTCTTATTGATATAATTAATAAAAATATATACTTTGTACTTTCAATAACAAAAGTATTTTCTTTATTTTCGATTAAACGCTATAAAACCTATTTTTCTAATAAAATATTAAATTCAGAATAATGCAATTGTAAATACTTTATAAATATTTTAATTAATTTTAATTATTTTTATAGCTTGATTAACAATGCAACGAATAAAATGTTTTGATTAAATTATTTGTATAATAATACTTGTAATCGTTCACAAATTAATTTCGATTATGATATAATGGTATCAAAACATTATAGATACAAACAGTTAATTATTTAAAAATTTACCTATTTATTCAAAAACTACTCACCAGCCTCATAATCCCATCATCGCTGCAAACGGAGCCCAAGACTCCAACACCACATGGCTGACCGCAGTCGCGTTATTATCACTTATAGCTTGACAGTCCACAGTCGATCCACATGGCATTCTAAATGCGATTGTTCTGAAACAATTTTTGATTATTGTAAATGTCTGACGAGACGATTTTGCCAATGAAAAAGTTCGGCGTCATAGGTCAAAAGATGCCGAATAGAAGTGCAAAATTGCCGTTTATAATTATCTTTATCATAATGTGTTTAACACTACCGATTCGTATCTCATTATCACATACGCAATGCACATTGAATGAATAGCGCGATATCGCCTGGAATAATTTACGCGACACTCCCGACACGTCCGAGACACATACTAATTAAGCAAAATTCAGAAAGACGGAGCTAACTTCACGCCGACGCTCGAACCTTCGACGGGCCGCGAATATCCGTCGGGTCACGATCGAATACGACAATTTAATGATATCGCGAATGTTGAAGGCAAGTCACACATGATCCAAAGACTCTGACTTACCCTCCACGGCGACCTCCACGTCCGCTGAATTCGACGCTCCCAGTATACCGGAGAGAATTAAGTTCAAAAGTATGCGCGGGCAACTTCACAGCGACGCCGCTCGGAGCTTCGGACGAGCCAACGGGGCACGGTAAGTGGGACTGAATTTTGAATGATAGGTTAGATTCGCGATCGCTGCACTCGTTGATTTGTGCTACACGACGATCGCCCGTCGTCGGATTCGATACTTCCGATACGCCGGAGTATATAAGACCCGTTGAAGGAGCTCGGAATTGACACGACGCGACGCGACGCTCGGAGCTTCGATCGGCCAACGATCCGCCGCGGTCAGCGGGGCCGATATCGCGAAAGCCGAGATCGGATTCGCGGCCGCTGCACGCGATGATCCATCGCCGGATTCAACACTCGCGAATTTCCGTACTATACGATCGAGGCGATCCTCATTTACGGAATTGACGCACGCGAAACACGGGACGACGCTCGTCCACGACACCGATACCGCTGTGTGCGTCCCGCTAACTGATGAACTGATCGAGTTCGACGCCGCGCCGATAGATCTCACTGATGTATGTACATACCGATAGAATAATCAGTGCCGTTCAGATTTTCGGAAAAAAAAAGGATCGCGCGGTGTTTTCGCGCATCTTGCGCCAATTAACTGTTTATACCTGTACGAAGTACGAACGCAGACGCTTCCATCATCGATTTCGTACTATTTCATGATCTTTCTCGTTGTTCATGAATTTTAATTGGTTCTGTATGTGATCTACGTTCAAGGTACTGTGTCAGCCTATATTGGTTATGTTATGGCTTTTAGTTTATTTTGTGATAATTTTACCGATATAGATTTGTTGATTAACGTTTTTATGAAAGTGCACCCGGGAATAAAAGTTCCACACATATAATTATACATAATTATACATATATAATTATATGCAAAATATGTCCATATATTGTTTCTTTTGTAAAATTATTTTTTAATACAAAATTGATAATAATAAGGAAACATAAAAAATAATTAAAAGAATAATTTTTACATTGCCTTTTTTTACAAAAAATCAAGTTTGAAGAAATGAGAAAAATTGCTCATATATAATCATATATAAGTGATTAAAATATACATATATATAATTATAAATGAACAATTTTTCTCATTTCATTAAACTTAATTTTTTGTAAAAAAAAAGCAATGTAAAAATTATTTTCTTAATTATTTTTTTATATGTTTCCTTCTTATTATTATCAATTTTATATTAAAGAATAATTTTACAAAGGAAAGAAACATATATGGACATATTTTGCATATAATTATATATAAAAATATGTGGAACTTTTTTCTCGGGCATTTTATTTAAAAAAAAATAAACAGATATATATCGGCAAACAAAAAATGAACAGAATAGAATATTAAGAAATAAGAATTGTAAAAAGGTCGCACTCCAAAGAAAAGAAAATATTGCTGAATATTAACATTTATATATATTGGCGAATCATTCAGCACTCGTGTATCCGCAAATAATGACGCGAAACACGTTGATAATTCATTTATATATTCGAATCTGATTTTTTACACGGCCGTGTGAAAAATGCGAAAGAGGCGCGAAACTGAATTACACGAATCGACGGGACGACAACGAAATCTCGGGAGAGAAATGCACTTTAAACGTCGATTAAATTCACTGCTCGAATATCGTAAAGATATTGCCGACGCGATTTTAGCTGCAACGTGTCACGTAATTAAATTAATGCTCGCATTAATCGTCCAATAATTCAATCAATATTGTAAACGCACTCGCGAAACGCGAATAAACGGAACGGTGATAATCGAACTGTTGAGCAGTTTCGGAAATGCAAACACATATCGATAATTCACTATATGGTTTACCTTTATACGAAAACCACGAAAACGTCGAAAAATACGAAAAAATCGAACTACACTATTAAATCTATAGTGTAAAATTTAATCTTAATTAAGTCGTCACTGCTCCTACTTTATAAATGGTTATTTTTAACTAAAACAATGGAATTAAATAATTTAAAACAGTTCAAATTTAACCCAAATTTGGGTTAAATTCCATTGTTTTATTTAAAAATAACTATATTGTTTTAGTTAAAAATAACTATTTATTAAGTAAGGTTAAATTTGACACTATAAATTTAACAGTGTACACGAATCTTTTTTTTTTTCTAATCTTATTTGAGCATTAAAGAAATAACGAAAAAAAGATCGTTTTTTTTTTGAGGTAACGATAATGAATTACTTTTGAAAATCAGTAACTAGTAACGGTAATTAGTTTTTTTTTTTATTTAATAACGAGTTATTTTTAAAAAGCAACTTTGTCAATCTTGATACCTGAATATACACACATTTGTATCGTTCAAATTAATCTTATTATTAGTCTTTGTATCAATCAATTATTCTGATCAGCACTATCGACGAGCAATCGGAATTGTGATGAAACGAACTAGCAAGCTATTAAGTAATTTTAACAAATAGTTTAATATTTTTACCTAGACCTAAAAAATACGAGAGAAAAAATGCGATAAAATTAGACATAGTATGTCAGTGAATGTAACCGAATAAAGTGATCATTCATACGAAACTACGTAGTCAAAAAAAAGAATTCAAAAAATCCGAGTTCAGTCACTTTCATCTTAATACATTATGTTTGTTTTAATTTATTAGTGGAGGTGTGTGTGTGTGTGTGTGTGTGTGTGTGCGCGCGCGCGCGCGCGTGCGCATACATGTAGTAATAACTTCAGTTTTCATGCTCTAGATGGATAAACATAAATACTTTCTCGTATACAAGAAAACACATAATTGGTTATAATAGACAGAATGCAATCGTTAAAATTCTCATAATTAAAAACATCACGAGATAGGTCAATCAAAACAAAATAGTTAATTTGACACTTTTCTGTAAATTTATTTAGATAAATTGAAAAAAAAGGTGTCAAATTGACTCTTTTGCTTTAATTGACCTATCTCGTGATGTTTTCAATTATTTTTTTGAAGTGGAGCTTCGCTCCACCAATGAATTAAAATAAACATAATATATTAAGATGAATATTAGCACGTAGCATATTAAAAAGATTGGTACTTTAAAGCATATCGCGGTGCACGACGACTGAATGGTTTTCCGCGCGAAAAATGCTGCATCCTGCGTAATACGATCAGCTTCTTCCGTCCACAGTAACGTGTGACAAAGCCGTCGAACAAATCACGTAATAATCGACCGAAAGACTCTATTCTGCTCTCTTATCTATCGCGCCATCGGTCAACATTGCGAGCGAGGTCGCGCGCGTGTTATTTACGTCGCCGTGTCGTGATGGTTGCGATAACGCTCGATTTGTTTCTCGATCGCCCTCGATCGCTCCTTGTGCGTGTACGCACGGTGTCATCGTTACATCGAGAACACGTATCCAACACCATTCGACGTGCGACATTCGAGGTGCGCGTGTCGCGCATAGACTTACAATTAATATAAATCTTCCATGGTGTCGCGCGGAAAGACGTCGCTGAGTCGCGAGATTCATAACGGCTACGCCGCTATAGCGTTAATTGATCCGAGCGATCAATTGTCTCTCGACATTCGGCGCCAGTATTTTTCATCTATATAGTATACGATCATGCCTCTGACGATGGGCACTCGCAAACGTCGCGAGACACCTCTCATCCGTTCCCTCGTTTCGCGAAGCTGCGAATATCGCACGACATCGAATTATTTGTACTTTTGACGGAATAAGAAATACGGGAGTGTGTTACGTGAGTGTTCTTACGAACGACGATTGTCGTACCACGCTTAGTATCGGATGTTAATTAACATCTGCAATTGTGATTAGAACATATATACTTCCTCGACGGGAGTGTGTGAATGAACATCCGAGATGTAACGAGACCATCAATTTATATTTAAATAAATCAAAAATTATATTTAAATAAATCTCGCCATGGACGCGAGATACTTACTGGTAAGGAAATTTGCTTATACATCTGTATATTTCAATATCTCCTCTTTTTAAAGATACAACTCTTTTGAAGATAAAGTTGATTACCGAGATGAGACGTATTTATTTTAACTCCAGTTCTCTCAATAATGTACCGATGCGATGAATTTTATATGTACAAATCTCTCGACATTCTTTTATTTTATTTTTAGTTCTTTTTTTTTTAATTAAAAAAAAAGAAAGAAAAAGTGAATATTTTCTATAAAAGTGAAAGAAATGAAAAAATCAAGATGATACTTCCTTTAAAAATCATTATTAAAGTACACGATTTTATTTACACATTTTAAGATATAAAATGTAAAATATAAATCGAGTTGTGATCCTCCCTGAATAAATTTGGCTTACAAGGAAAAGATGGACTTATAGAAAAATATACTAAAAGTTTCGCAACATTGGGAAAATTTAAAGGATATATCTTTTAAAAATAATTATTGAAATATACAATTATATTTATACATTTTTAAATATAAATTGATATAATATATGTGGTCCTTTCTAAAAAAAAAATTCGGCTTATGAGAAAAATGAATTTTTATAGAAAAACACATTGAAGAGGTTTTGCAACATTCAAGTAATGATTGCGTTTAAATGTAACTGTGATATTCTATGATATAGCGTTTTATTTAATTTATCTTTGTTTTACAATCAACTTGGCGTAAGTTTGATTGGTACGAGCTTGATAACAGGTTATTATTCAATTTATAGCTTTTACAATAAATTGGATATGAGCTTGATAACAATTTTTATTCGGTTCAGTTTTATTTTGCAATATATTTGCTGTAAGCTTGTTTTGATATAAGCTTGATAACAGTTCTTTTTATTTAATTTAGCTTCACAATATACTTGATTTTTTCTTTTTTTTAACTCTTCATAAATACGAGAAAAATATTATAAAATTCTTTAAAGTTCCATATCTATTTCAACTTAAAAAATAATGATAAAGAATAACGACTTTAATTTAAAAAATAACAACTTCGGAAATGATGACGTAGATCAGAAAAATGGATTAGTTTGTTAAAAATAGGGAAATTATCAAAAAATAGAAACTCAAATATTATTACACAACGGCTTCTTTGCGGAAATTATACATGGATATATTCAACAATTGCATGAAATTTTCGTACATCTTTTTACAGTTCGACAACAACTGCTTCTCGAGTTTCTGCGGCTTCGTTCTACATCTTCGTTCGTGTGCGCATGTGGTGAGTCCTATCACTATTTTCCATCTCAATTCTCACTGATAATTACGGATCCGATTAATTGTCGAATGTCGGTAGTCTGTGTGAAATAATTTAGTACGAAATCTAGTTTCAATATTCATTTGCATTTGGAAGATGGATTTTCCATCTCTTTCAATACTTAATCGCTCATTTGCTTGTACCCCGTATATACGTCGTAGAGAAAAAAACTCTGGGGAAAAAAAGAGCGACTTTTTGTGCGCCGCCGGCGGAATATCAAGTCCGATCTCGCGACTTTTAATTCCTCAACTTCCGCCGATAGT